GGYYGGYAAAYMSGSSMTTTTTTACAAAAGGGGGAGGTGGGCMCACAGAGGAAAGGCATGTGTCTGTGATGGTTGCCGTCCCACACAGAAGCTGACGGGGTTGGRGAGATGTGAAGGGGGGAGATTTACCAGGGATTAAATGGGCATGTCTGACCTTTTATTCATCTGCACGTCTGGTTCGCTAACCAAGACGGCTAATTTGGCATTGAAAGGGAAGGCCGTCACCTCCGATCACTGGTGACAAACAGTTTATCTTTGAGCTGCAAGCAGTTCTTTGTTGCTTTGGTGTCACTGCACCCCCCCACCATTGAAGACGCCCACAAACACATCTGCATCCATGTGGTTTTGTTTATATGKATAAAGCCAATAAAACTTCTCAGATCCCCTTACTTTTCCGCTGGCTGATTTATCTGTTCAGTTGTAGGTCTGCATCTTTTTCTTCCCCCCTCTTACTCTGTCCTCTTCTCTGTCTCCTCCTGCATGTGGTTTCCATTCAGCTCTTGTGCAGTATCTCCAAAATTTATGGAAAGTTGGATGAGCTGCCTTTTCCAGCTGACATAAATATACAGTGGAGATGAATGGGATGTGTGTGTTTCACTAGGAATGTAAAACAGAGTTTTAACATTGCTTTACAGCCAGTGTGTCATGAAGAAGGAACAGGTTTCTGTATATTTTGGATCAAATTATATATATTTCTTATTATTATTTAACAACATGGCACAAAACCAATCTTTGGATCAGAAACAGACAGTAAATATGTGGCAATAAAAGTCCAAAGTGGTAAATGAAACTAAGATTGTTGAAGGCTTCCATCATGCGATGATTCAAGAATTGTCAGCTGCAAATTAACTCTGAAAGCATTTTTTTAAATCTTTTTCCTGACATGTGGAAAGGATGATGGTGTGGTTGAGCCAGCTCACAGCATCTCTGTGTCGTTTYACAAAACTCACCATCTGGATACCATTGTCTTTAAATCTGAAGCCACTGAGGATCAGTTATTTAATTWTTTTTTGTATAAAGTGATGCAACAAGTTTTCCTGTAACTTAATGTTTTAGGTTGCTAAACTAGTTCAAAACATTATTGTGGGGAGCATTTAAGCAACTTCATGTATAGATGGTGTCTCAATAAACTGGGGATGTCCCGATCAGATACTCAGTATTGGTATCGGTGGCAGATATGGCCATTTATTTTGAAAATCATGTGGAATCGGATTTAGTCATGTGATCGGGCCGATCCAGTTTCCACAACAGTTTTCAGCATCATCATGCTTTACAACTGCCATTAAGAAGTCAAGACGCACACAAGTGTGCAACCATGTCCACAGTGTGGGAACACTTTTCAATGGAAAACAATGATGCTGAAACTGCAACTTGCAAAATCTGCAAACTGGATGTTTCTCGTGGTGGGAACAGCAGGGCTCGCTTTAATACTACCAACCTTGTCACTTGGAAAGAAATAAAGCTATCTGATCAGTATTGGATCGGTGTCGCAAAGACTAATCATTAAAAAAATCMGATTGTATCAGGAGCCAAAAAATCTGGATCGGGACATCTCTACAATAAACTTTTGACTAGTTGAAGTTGTCCTTGAGGGAGTCCCCAAAATGTCTTGAAACATTCAAAGGGGTCCTGGATTATAGCTTTGTTGGTTGACGGTTGAGCACACTCACACAGTCAAAAGGTTTGTGCAACTGAGTTTTTCTCAAAATAGTCAGTTGTCGTGTGTGCTTACAACTTCTCTTAAGTTTTCCGTTTGTAAGTTTTGAACACTACASCTGTATTTTGACAGCTGCCCGGAGCTCACTTATGACAGAAAACATGGGAGGATGCAGCCTTGAATATCCTGGACTAAAAACCACACTGATGATGATCATTAAATTAAAAAAACATGTCCAAATCTGCCTATTTTCATTTCAAAAGTGTTCTCCATTAGAATAAATCATAGCRGTAGGGTTGTCTAAGTTGGCAAAGGTGTGTGAAGAAATGATGGGCATTGCCTAAAATGCATATTTGCGATTTGTGTACAAGAAAAAGGCAATGGTTGATTGCTCAAAACTGAGCTGCATGGCCCACCGATCACGTTTGCCAGAGCTCCGCATAAAAATTGATATATCAATTGATATTGATATTTTTAAAACTGGTATTGTACTGATTTTTCCCCTGATGTGTGATTCCTGTTCAGGGCAAGGAACAGCAAGCTGCAAGTGAGCTCGAGGAGTAAAGAAAATGGCCAGCAGAATTCTGGAAGCACCTTCATCCTTAAAAGCAGATGTCTAGCACATTTTGGTTTTTATTATTGTATAGATTTTTTAATAATTTGCTGGTTTTGTCAAGTCAGGGTGTCAAGTCAGTGGTATTGAGCAATAAGTAATAAGTATCAAAATCAAACTGAGCTGCACTTTATTGAGAATTACATTGCATCATGAACTCTGTATTGAAATTTGTATTTAACTGCCATGCCTAGGTGATACCCAGTCCTAATGTGTGCAAATGCTCAAAATACAGTGAGGCAGCAACAAAAAAAAAAAGCCAATTTTTTGTAATTTTCTCACAATTTTGAGTGTTCAACTGTTGTAGCCCAGAAAAAAATGTTGCCCTAAGTAAATATTATTACTATTAGTAGGGTTTACCAGAAGTGGAATAATTAACGAGACAACAGAGTACTGTGCTTTTAAACAATTTGAGAAATCCCAGATGATGATGTATAGCTTTGAAAGCTATTGATAAATTAAGTGACAGCATTTGAGTTAATTAAAGGCACACCTATTGATACAACGGAAGGCACACCTCAAACACGTGTTTGGTGTGACATCATAAGAATATAGAAGGAAAACAACCAAGATACGAGGAAGAAATTCTGAGTGTGTATTTTTGTATACAGTGTTTGTGAACATCTAATTTCAACTATATCAACCTCCTGTAGTCACACCTGAGTCACCTGTCATTTATATAAAATTGCAGCTATTACTCTACAGGTTGGTGACTTTAAATGAGTTATTCTATGTTACTGTAGTGGCTATGAACTGAAACTGTTTTTTGGATGACTTCAGTAGAGTTTAGTTTGGCCACTTTTTTTCATTATCAGAGAAAATTTAAAATAGAAGAGAAACCAAGTCCGGAAGAGGAACAGAAAACATACTCTGCAGATAATTTATGGAGGTGTTCAACATACTAAAAGGATTGTTTTGATATTTCCAGATGTTGAGTCTTTGTTGAAGATTCAATAATAATAATCTTATAAAGTCATTTTGTACTCCATGTGCTTTGCTTTCATTTCCAACTAATGGGTTGGAATGTGAATGACTTCAAGATTCTTACTGAGTTAACACCTGGAAAAAGTTTTGTTTCTTGGACACATTTTTAAAAATGCAAATCCTACTTCTTTAAAACATATATTCCATATATTTGGTTTTTATTTTAAAATGGAATTTATTTAACATTTGAAGAGCCATGGCAAAGCTGATTTGAATGAATATTAAAGGTTTTTTGTTTGCATTGTAAGAGTGAGTTTAAGGTGAATTAAGCTTTTCCCACATCTCTCATACACAAGGTTATGAGGAAACTTTTACCAAGGTTACTTGTTAATATCTTGACTGTGCGAAGTGAAGTGACACAATAAGTGAATGTTCAGACAAGTTCAAGTTGATTCATAAAAGACTATGCAATCATTTATTTACACAAGTTGAACAGATCATAAGTTACACTTGATTGTGGTCATTCCTATAAAAAGCGTCAGAGTTAAATGAGATAAAACCCATGTCCGAATTTCAATTCACACCAACTCAGATTACTTATGTAGAACAGTAAAACGTCAGTTCTGATGTTAACAACCAAACAATTTTACTGGCACTTTTAGCTTAAGTTCTGGCAAATTAAGAACAAGGAAAGGAGGAAAGTAAGCTTAGTATGTTACTACGACTTTTACTTTTATCAAAGTGTGGGTCAACCGGAACTGCACGTCTTTTCTAAGCTCAGGTTCCACATGACACGTCACTCTGAACACATCAGCTTTTACCTGATGATGGCTTCTTAAGGCACCCTCGGGGTAGGAACTGGCTTGCCTCCGATCAGTCAGGGAACTGATGTCGGTCCGCTTATCGGTCATTGGTGAACAGGTGTTTTTTCAGGTAACTTTCGTCTGT